TCAAATTTTACTTTAAACTATTTAATTATTATTTTGATATCTATCTATAGCTACCTATCTATCTATCATCCATCTATTACCTATCTATCACTTTCATTTACTTTGCAGTATTTGCATTCTGATATTTCCTACTTTTCCAAAGCCTATGAAAATAATTATAGTAATTTTAGTTTATATGTGTCCTGAATAAATAGGTTTTCAATATCTTGCTCTCTCACTTCTTCTGGCACCCCCATAATTCGGATGTTGGTATGCTTGAAGTTGTCCCAGTGGTTCCTTACACTATCTTCAGATTTTTGGATTCTGTTTGCTCTTCCATTTGATTGTTTTTTGCTTACTTGTATTTCAAATCTTTGACTTGATTCTTGGGATCCTCTAGTCTACTGTTGAATCTCTCTATATTATTCTTTATTTCAGTCAGTGTATGCTTAATTTCTAACTGGTCCTTTTCCATTTTTTTTGGTATTCTAACTAAGATCCTTGAAGGTCTCACTAAGTTCCTCGGAGGTGTCTAGAAGATTCTTGAGTAACCTTATAACTGTGGTTTTGAACTCTATATCTAGTATTTTTCTTTCTTCCATTTCTTTCATTTGTGACATGTTTCTTTGTCTCCGCATTTTGGCTGCTTCCCTGTGTTTGTTTCTATGTATCAGGTAGCTGCTAAGTCTCCTTGAGTTGATAGAGTGGCCTTGTGTGGTAGGTGTCCTATAGGGCCCAGTGGACACCTGAGGTGAGCACTCTTGGTGCACCCCTTTCACCTGAGGTGGACACTCTTGATGCACCCCTTTCTGGGCTGTGTACACAGTCTTCTTGTAGGTAAGCCTTGATTGCTGTTGGTATCACTCGGAGGAATTGACCTCCAGGCCAATTGGCTGCGAGGACCAGCTGTATCTACAATGGAAGAGTTGCTGTTCAGGAGACACCCTTATGGGGCAGGACTTGCTTCAGTGGGGCTTTGGTGCTAACTGAGTCTGCCCCTTGAGTGTGTCACTTATGGATGTGAAGAGTTGTAATTTCCCTTTTATATTTTCTTCTTGTCTGATAACTGTAGCTAAGACTTCCAGCACTATGTTGAATAAGACTGGTGAAATGTCTTGTTCCTAAGAAAAATGCTTTTAGTTTTTGTCCATTGAGTATGATGTTGGCTGTAGGTTTGTCATATATGACCTTTATTATGTTGAGGTATGATCCCTCTATTTCCCACAATGTTGAGAGTTTTCATTAAAACTGGGTGCTATTTGTTGAATGTTTTTTGCAATTATTGATATGATCATTTTATCTTTATCTTTCATTTTGTTTATGTGATGTATTAGATTTATTGATTTGCAAATATTGTCCCAGCTTTGCATCCCTGGAATAAATCCCACTTGGTCATGGTGAATAATATTTTTAACATATTGCTGGTCCAGTTTGCTAATATTTTGTTGAGGATTTTGGCATCTATAATCATCAGGATTATTGGTCTGTAATTTTCTTTCTTTGTAGTGTCTTTTTGTGGTTTTGGAATTAGGATAATGCTGGCCTCATAAAAAGAGCTTAGAAGTCATTCGTCCTCTTCAAATTTTTTGAATTGTTTGAGGAGGATAGTTGTTAGTTCTTCTTTGAATGTTTGGTAAAACTCCTCTGTGAAGCTGTCTGGTCCAGGACTTCCTTGTTTGCTGGGAGTTTTTTTGATTCTTGCTTCAATTTCATCAGCTGTAATTCATCTATTCAGATTTTCTGGTTCTTCCTGATTGAGTTTTGGAAGATGGTATGTGTCTAGGAATTTATCCATTTTATCCACATTGTCC